TGAACACTAGACCCGAACAACTATAAGAGTTTTCGATTAATATTCGTAGATTTTCGATGATTCTCGGGAATTTTCGTCAACAGAGTTGCTCTGTTGTTACACCCTCTCACCCCCTCGTGTGGTAGAAAAATTAAAATTTTGATAATTTTACGAGAATCACAAATAATTAATTGTATGTTATATATGGAGAATGAAATAATTTGTCAAAAATGTTTTTCAAAACAATATGAAAATTTATTAATGGGCAAGCCAGATTGGTACTTTCATTTATACAGACTAAAAAATTCAAAATAATCTGGCAGTATGGTTGAATAAAGATAAATTCACTTGCTAACAAAAATCGAGCTGACCTTTACAACTATATTCAAAAGGTTTTTACCAAGTTTCTAGGAATTATAAAAATTCTATTCTAAAATGCACTGTCATCTTTACTTTGAAACTTTTTTTAATATGTTCATTTTTTTTTGTTTTTTATTATTCTACAATAAAAATAAAAGATTTTCCGAGAGTAAAAGCCTGCTGCAATTAGTTTTTATATAAAAAAAAATTCTATTGTAGTAAAAAAGTTGCTTAGAAATTGACAAGCTTTGAATAATTAGTTAAAAAAAAGCCATTAAATTATTTAATAAATTTTTCTAATCACGAATGTAATTAAAAGATAATTTGTTCAATGTAATTCACTCTAAAACATACACAATATTCCAATGCATCTTAATATCTTCCATTAAAATATTATTTCAATTTTTTTTAACAATCATACATTTTTTTTCTTCAAAATCATCAAACATAGAATAATTGAAATAAAAATTTTTTAAATATCACCGCTTCTACTGAACAAACATTTCTTCCAAAAAATGACTATTCATCTTAATGTGGACGAAAAAGTTAATTTCACTGGAAGAAATATCGAATTTTCGATAAATGTTTTAATAAATTAAAGAAACTGCAAACCACAATTATTTATTATATTCAGGTAATGTTTTGAAAATTACAATTCAATTATAAAACATGAAGCTCTTTAGTATTCAATTATTTTACATGAAGAAATATTTTTTTTTTTTCTAATAACTACATTTAAATTTACTTACTTTTAAAATTCATTACTTGATCTGATTCGCTGGGAGTTAGTTTACAAGCGATTAAAATAATGATTTTTTGGTGAAAAGAAATTTTATTATTTCTTGGTAAAATCAACAAGTAAAATCTATACTTGCACTCATTTGTCAAAAAAAAATTAGGGAAACTTTTTATCAACAAAGCACATAACTGTTTCAAGGCAACCCCAAACAATTTGCTGAGTTTCAACTCACATAGCTTTAAATGATTAATTAGTAATGAAAAATTTATCATTAACAAATACTCTTATGGTTTAAAAGTAAAGATATAAGTTAAAAAAATAATTACAATATTATTTTTAGTTATAACTTGATCATTTTATTTCATCTCGAATAATATAAATTTTTTAAAACTCTTCAATATTATACAAAGCTTGGTAATTTTTAGATTTATGGCGATTTGAGATCATTTCATTTGTCAGGTAAACAGATGATAAACTTAAAAAATTTTGAATGTTATAACGTCAAATTACATAACTAATTAATATTAATAAATTTACATCGTGATTATTATTTTCTTCATCATTTTGTTTTTTAAATTTAAGATAAAATATTTATATTTTATCTTAAATTTTATCTTATCTTTTATCTTATATTTTATCTTAAATTTAAAGTAAATAAGAAATTATCGCTACAGTAACATTCAGTAATTTCTACTTATGCAATTAATATTGATTGTTTTTTTCGGTTTTCTTTCTCAACATTTATAATTAATAATAATTATACACTGGATATATTTATAAATAATTTATAATTTCTATAATAATATTAGTATAAATATGCACATTACATCGAATTTATGTGCAACAATATTAATTAATGATAACTATACTTAGAAATAAAATGATTATAATAATAATTTATAATCAAATTTTGACGCGCATTAAGGTATATTTTTTATTATTAATTCATGAATAAAATATTCTAACATTACTCATTTATTCTTTTGTTAATTTGTTTTTTCTTTCACAAACTATAAACTTTCAATAACGCATCCATCATGGAAGGAGCGGTAAAAATAAATAAGTTTTCACAAAAAAATCTATAATTATCATATAAATTGTTTGATTAACGATAATTATCATTCGCACTGACACAATGCGATAGCTTTCAATTTTTAAGAAAATAAGATAGCGCGGGGACGACACATCCAAATTAACTATGTATCATTGATATTATCGAAGATGATGATTTTCGCCCATTATTACTTCTAAACTTAAGAGATCGAGAAATAATCATCGTTTGAAAAACACTATGCTAATTTTTTTCTCTTATTTTTAGATCGCATTACGAGAAACATTATAAATTAAGAAGATTACAATTGATCATTTTTTTTTTAATAATGACTTAATCAATGGTTTAAATTGTAATGAGGAATTTAAAAAATCTAAGAAAAATAATAATAATGATTTTTAACAATTAGTGCGTTTAAAAGTTCTGTTATTTAACAGTGATTGTGATGTTAAATAAACATACATAATATTTGAAAGATAAACAAACAGACAATTATCTGTTGATTATCAGTACGATTATCTTGTATTTTTGAACAGTTTATAATTAATGAAAAATCAAAGATTTTTTACCCTGTAAAATAATGTTCACATTGACCATTAATAGTTTCAAGCCATTATTCATAAAAATAAATTACTTTCCGTGTAACAATTATGATGAAGGTGATTTAAGAATTTAATTTAACTAAACTTTCTTTAAATGACATAAATATTTTAAGCCATCATGTAATCATCTTAGTTAAGACTGTTTCTTATATCGACGGTCTAATTAGTAATTTGTCTAACTCCATATTTTTTAGAGGGTGATTTTTTTATCATTTTGATGTAGCCATAATCGAATTATAAATTATTTGAATGATTCAAATCTAAATATTATATCTCTAATAGATAATAATGATATTAAATGGTTTTTTAAAGTGATAATGAATTTTGAACTAATTGTTTTTTTCGTACAAATAGAAGATTCTCTAAAATGGAGTTAGACAATTTACTAATTAGAACGTCGATATTTTATAAAATTATTCTGATATAATACTAAGTCTTAAATATTTTTTAAATAATTGTTTTCATCTATGGATAAATATTCTTCTTCTTTATTTTTCTTTCTTTTGCTTTCGAATTATTCAAATTGAAAAGAAAATTAGATATATTTACAAGTTTAATGATGCATTCAATTTTTACTTTATTAAACAAGTTATTTTATGCGATTTACAAAATTATAACTTTTCGTTTAAAGTTTAATTTAATTATTGCAGAAGATAGTAACTAATTGATTATTTTTCTATGAAATAATACATTCATAAGTTATTAATGAAGAATATTAGTTCATTTTTCGGTTAAAATACATTTTTTTAATTTTGTTAATAATAAAAAAAAATGACATTAAATGTATTGATTAATTAGAAATAAAACTTCACAAAATTACATTTTTTTGTTCTTTTTTTATAAATAATTTTAGTTTTATTACTTATTCATGTAAAGTATTTTTACTAAATATCTACTGTTATTATTAAGCATGTACAATCTAAAAAAAAATATTTTATTATTAAAAAAAAAAATAAATATAATTAACGTTCAATAAAGATATTTTAGAACGAATATTGCATTTAGAATATAATAATACGAGTTTATCTTCGACTTTTAATAATATTCGATTTGACTTTATGAAATGTGCAAGATTTCATGAGTAATTTTGTTTTCAATTCATGATCTGTGTTTTTTGGCAAAAAATTTTTTAAAAATAAAGTAATCTTGAGCTTTATATTTTTGGAATTAATCAAATAACATATTATAAACCTTTTAGAGTACTAATACTATTATGTGAATCTCGAATGTTTACATCTGCTACATGCTGGCATTCAATATAACATAAACGTTTAGTTACATATAGTATATGAATTATATTCATTGCTCCATAACCATTCCTTTCTCACCTAAGCTTGAAAATATCATATTTTATTTGATTAATTCCAATAACTTACTCTGTGAACACTTTCCATTTTTTCATTATAGTTTTTTTAATTACTTTCGGCTTATTAATATTTCAAAAGATTTGAAACATAGTTATTATAAATTCTTTCAATATAATTAAATAAAAGTTATAATTATTATCATTATGAACATTTAATACAAATTGTAAAACAATTTTTATTTAAAAAAATATAATATACATTCCATACGAAAGCAAAAGTTATAACATAAATAATTTATTTCAATTACTATATAATATATATTATATACTATATATAACATAATATTTATACTTCCGATATGTATACAGATTAAAAATCAGTAGTAATAATAATAATAATAATAATAATAATAATAATAATAATAATCACATAAGTAAATATTTTTGATTAGTTAACATTTAATTTTTTCAATCATAAATTTTTTAAATTAATGAATTTTGTATTTAATTATCATCTAGAAGAAAGCAATGCATGATATTGAATCTCAATAACCAAATACAGAAATTAAACAATATCATTTTTATAATCATTATTTTTATTAGTTACAGATTATTATTTGTAATTGATATGGAATTATTGTCGTAAGGAAAAAACCTTAATTATTTCAAATCTTTGCTATTAATGGTTTTACACATACGTTAATGAGAACATCAATAAACAGAAAATGATAGATGAAATCAAATAATCAAAAAATAAAATAAGTAAAAAAATCTTCTTACATCAATCTTAAAAACAAAATTATGATAAATGTATATAAAATTGAATAAAAATAATATTCGATATTAATTTGAACTGTAAAGTTACTGATTTCATTAATATTATCTAACTATATAGACTATTATAATCATTCGTGAATTATTTATACAAGTTTTTATAACTCTTACGGTTTTTTTCCTTCATTTTTATATATATGCACACTGAAAAAAAAAAAAATATCTTGAAAAAAGACAAAAATTATTGAACCAAGAAAATTATTTTGAAGAATTTCATTGTCTTCATTAAGACGAAAAATTCTTGAATCAAATAAAATTTACTTATGCCGAGAAAAATTTCTTAGTTTAAGAATTTTGCTACTCAAATCAAAAAGATGAAGTTTGTCAAAATTGTTTACTTGATTCAAGTTAATTTTTAACTTCCCGCTAAAAATCTCAGATTTTCAAAAATCGGGAAGTTATTGTTTTCACCCCGTTTTGCAAAAATCAAGTTTTCATCAGATCTCGGCGTTTTAAGGTCATAGGAAGCTTCCCTGACTACCCCCGCGGTGGTGTATGTATGTATGTATGTATGTATGTATGTGTGTATGTGTGTATGTGTGTGTGT